CCCCCCCCCCCTCCCAATCACCACCGCCCATACTGCACACAGTGGTGACCAGTGAACCATTTACACAGTAAGCGCAGGTAATTGTTTGCTCCTTTCACCTCATCACCTCCTCAATCTGAAGGTAAACAAACCATTACACGTTAATTTAGTCATCAAATCACAATCTGGTACAAAGTTTAATCTTCTCACAGCCAAGATGTGAGTGTGCCGTAGACTCCACTCCTATATTTACAGTGGAGCCAGGGAGAGGGATATAGTCAGGGGAGCAAATCTTTCTTCTGGATCTTATGAACCAGGGGTGTAACTAAAGCCATGGACCACTAAGTGGCTGATAAGGGGCCCAGAGCCGCCTGCCAACAAAGCCATTTAGAAATAGTGTTTGGCAACTAAATCTGCATAAAATGAACGTACATGATTATTGCCTCGCCTTGGACAAGGATGTGGGTAAGGGGGGTCAGGTAGGCTTCCCTATTGCCTCCCCTATGACAAGGAGGTGGGTAAGTGGATCAGTTAGGGTCCCCTATTGCCTCCTTGTCAGAAGGGAGGCAATAGGGGGTCCCTGCCTGACCCCTTTATCCACATCCTTGTCAAAGGGGAGGCAATAGGGGGAACCTAGCTGACTCACTTATCCGCATCCTTGTCAAAGGGGAGGCAATAAGGGGACCCTACCTGACCCACTTATCCACACCCTTGTCAAAGGGGAGGCAGTAGGGGGACCCTACCTGAATCCCTTATCCACATCCTTGTCAAAGGTGAGGTAATAGGGGGACCCTACCTGACCTACTTATCCACATGCTTGTCAAAGGGGAGGCAATATGAGGACCCTACCTGACCTACTTATCCACATGCTTGTCAAAGGGGAGGCAATAAGGGGACCCTACCTGACCCACTTACCAACATCGTTGTCATAGGGGAGGCAATAAGGGGACCGTACCTGACCCACTTACCAACATTGTTGTCATAGGGGAGGAAAAACTGACCCCAGTTGTTGTCTATGGATATAATGGATGTGGGTAAGCGGGATGGATAGGCTCCTAATCTGTAGGTCTGTGGTGGATCTCTATTCAAAGTCATGACTATCCAGCAGTTGCCATCACTGCAGCTCCATTCTTTCCCATAATTCCCTGGGACTGGAACCATGGTACTGCTCCTGTGCAGTTACATGACAATCCTATTGAAGGATACAGTTGCTGAACCACAATGGCTGCCCTCTTTCTCTCGCACTCACAATCCCAATACTGGAAACACAGAGTAGACATTGCTCTATACCTTGCTGCCCCCTCTGATTGTCCCTCTTCTGCAGCCAGTCATGGGTTGGATAATGCCACCCATGACTGGTTGCAGAAGAGGGACAATCAGAGGGGGAATCCCACTGGTATTGTCTCTCTCACCTGTTTTTCTGATACACTGATGGGCTCTTTAAGAACGATCCAGTTCACGCTCTCGTTGAGCGGGGGGGTGGTCAGAGAGCCGGGGTAGTTCCAGTAGTCCAGGCTCTGGGGCAGGAGGCACTTTGGGTTGAAGTTGTGGAACTGTGCTTTGGTCCCCTGCAAGAGAGCGAAATGTTAAATGGAGCGACATCCAGATGGGAAGAGTAGAACAGCGGTGGTCAACTAAATACACGAGGGAGTGGCCAATAATGTCACATGCATAAATCAACATGACATCACTTCTGCGCAACCCAAAATCAAATATTAAGAATTGCAACAATGAAACAAGATACATTTTTCAGGTCTGCGATACAAAGTTAATCTAGACATTGATGGTTTTAATAAAGTCAGCATGCTGCAGGAGACTGTAAGAGACTGACAACCATACAATAAACTGCTAGAGATCACCGCCATTATAAGCCCCCTATAGCCCTCTCATTAAATTACTGCCGCCATGTTTGACATTTCTCTCAGCAAGATTCATTATATAAGGTCAGAGCAAAAAAAAAAATACACAAAAAGAGAGAAAAGAATGAACAGCAAAGAAGATGAAAGAAGTATAAGGGGCCCGTTCACACCATAGCATTGCGTATGAGCTGTTTATCCGAGTATTCCGCAATGAGTCTCACATTGATGTTCTGAACATTCTTATCGGAATGGTGTTCCCCTTTAAGCTATGAAAACACCCCGGTGAGCGGTGACAATATCTCTCTGAACTCTCCTCCAGGCGACAGGCAATAATGAGTTCCACCCACAACCTTCGCAGGAGAAAAAAATCCATGATGGCAGGCTTGGCAGCAATTCATCTGTGATTAGCGCAAGGTCGCGGCAATTAGGCCGCTTTCCCGTCACAGTAGCTGCTGCTGATAAAGAGTTCCAGGAGTTCAGTCAGAATCTTCCAGGAGAAATGAACGCGTTTATAGATAAGCTGCGAGTTACCCCGACTAGGCAAAGGGACATCTATAGGAGGGACCATATACATTGTATACTGACCTTCCCTGCGATCAACCGTCACCCCAAACTGCCATCAGACCCCCACAGAAATACCCCCGGGGCTATCAGTATTGGGGAATCATGCATCACTTTCCCTGCTACCACAATGTAACATGCGAGTGACCAATAGCCGGGCACAGGGAGATGGATAGTCCAGGTGACTACAGGAGCATTCATGAGGGTGCAGAAGCAGTGGAGGGGACTGATGGTGGAGCATTGCAGGTCAGGCAACTGCCAGGGTACCAGAGGCTACATAAAGACACAGGAGTACCCAGGGGTCACTGAAGAAACAGAAGTACCCAGGGGTCACTGGAGACAAAGGAGTACCCAGGGGTCACTGAAGACACAGGAGTACCCAGGGGTCACTGAAGACACAGGAGTACCCAGGGCCCAGGGGTCACTGAAGACATAGGAGTACCCAGGGGTCACTTGAGACACAGACATACCCAGGGGTCACTGGAGACGCAGGAGAACCCGGGGACACTGGAGACACAGGAGTACCCAGGGGTCACTGGAGACATAGAAGTACCCAGGGGTCACTGGAGACATAGAAGTACCCAGGGGTCACTGAAGACATAGGAGTACCCAGGGGTCACTGAAGACACAAGAGTACCCAGGGGTCACTGAAGACATAGGAGTACCCAGGGGTCACTGAAGACATAGGAGTACCCAGGGGTCACTGAAGACAAAGGAGTACCCAGGGGTCACTGAAGACATAGGAGTACCCAGAGGTCACTGAAGACATAGGAGTACCCAGGGGTCACTGAAGACAAAGGAGTATCCAGGGGTCACTGAAGACATAGGAGTGCCCAGGGGTCACTGAAGACAAAGGAGTATCCTGGGGTCACTTGAGACATAGGAGTACCCAGGGGTCACTGAAGACAAAGGAGTATCCAGGGGTCACTGAAGACATAGGAGTGCCCAGGGGTCACTGAAGACAAAGGAGTATCCTGGGGTCACTTGAGACATAGGAGTACCCAGGGGTCACTGAAGACAAAGGAGTATCCTGGGGTCACTTGAGACACAGGAGAACCCAGGGCACTACTTTTTTCTACTGCACAGTATTGCGGCATCAAACTTTGCAACGCACAGCCACCAGAAGGTGCATTGGAGTGCTGTTTAAATGAATGGCGATACAACGCATCTAATGCACGCTGGGTGTAAACTAACCCATACACCCCAATGAGTCTCACCTGCAGAGACTATAACACACAATGTGTTCATATTGTTATATAACAGAGGAAATATCATCTCCATTTTCCTTCTGAAAACCTCAATAGCAATTCTTAGAACAGAATCTCGCTCTTCCTGCGTAGTATCTCTCCATGCGAGTCTCGTGACACGCATCGTGGGTCGTATTTCGCCGCTTTCTCCACAAACATCGTCTTTCAGACAAGATGACAAAGAGCGACATTATTCCGAGCAGAATGGTCATTCTTTGTAACGTTATCCGCAAACACAGAGAGAACCATCGGAACAAAACCCGCTTCTATCCACAAATACGGCCAGAGGAGCGCACAATGCGGAGCGCACAATGCGGAGCGCACAAAGGACGTGACATCACACGATTGTATAGGAGCAATGTATAGGGGGGAGGGGAGGGGGGGATGAGGGTGAAATCAGAGATGGAAAGGAAAATTCCAATCAGTGGAATATTGTGAACTCTCTTCTTTATGCTTCACGGAACTGTATAGAAACGTACAAGCCGCGTCTCACGTGTCAGCTCCATCTATAGCCTGAACCTCCACCTGGGCGGCCGGAAGATCGCAGGGTTACAATAGGTGATAAGGGAACATTGCGGATTATATTAGGGATTAGCCTCTGACAGCTCCCAGTGTAAATATCACCAACCCCAGCCGAGATTAGGAGGTTTATTGTTCCGGCCGAGATATCACGCCGATCCGGGGTCACCACTCACAGCCGGGCGTACTGGCGGCCATTGTGCACTCAATACCTGCCGGGCCTGGACTGCCGGGAATCGGGAATCTTTATAAAGGTTCTTTATAGATATATACATCAAGAATTACAGCCTCCCCTCCTGTCTTATACCTGACCTCAGTCCTTCCTTTTAGTCTTATATCTCTGACCTCCGTCCTTCCCTTTAGTCTTATATTTCTGACCTCCGTCCTTCCCTTTAGTCTTATATCTCTGACCACTATCCTTCCCTTCAGTCTTATATGTGACCTCCGTCCTTCCCTTCAGTCTTATATCTGACCTCCGTCCTTCCCTTCAGTCTTATTTGTGACCTCCGTCCTTCCCTTCAGTCTTATATGTGACCTCCGTCCTTCCCTTCAGTCTTATTTGTGACCTCTGTCCTTCCCTTCAGTCTTATATGTGACCTCCGTCCTTCCCTTCAGTCTTATTTGTGACCTCTGTCCTTCCCTTCAGTCTTATATCTGACCTCCGTCCTTCCCTTTAGTCTTATTTGTGACCTCTGTCCTTCGCTTCAGTCTTATATCTGACCTCTGTCCTTCCCTTTAGTCTTATTTGTGACCTCCGTCCTTCCCTTTAGTCTTATTTGTGACCTCCGTCCTTCCCTTCAGTCTTATATGTGACCTCCGTCCTTCCCTTCAGTCTTATTTGTGACCTCTGTCCTTCCCTTCAGTCTTATATGTGACCTCCGTCCTTCCCTTCAGTCTTATTTGTGTCCTCTGTCCTTCCCTTCAGTCTTATATGTGGCCTCCGTCCTTCCCTTCAGTCTTATTTGTGACCTCTGTCCTTCCCTTCAGTCTTATATGTGACCTCCGTCCTTCCCTTCAGTCTTATATGTGACCTCCGAAATTCCTTTTCAGTCTTATATCTGACCTCCGGCCTTCCCTTTAGTCTTATATCTGACCTCCACCCTTCCCTTCAGTCTTTTATCTGACCTCCATCCTTCCCTTCAGTCTTATGTGACCTCCATCCTTCCATTCAGTCTTATATCTGACCTCCGGCCTTCCCTTGAGTCTTATATCTGACCTCCGGCCTTCCCTTCAGTCTCCTATCTGACCTCCGGCCTTCCCTTCAGTCTCCTATCTGACCTCCGGCCTTCCCTTCAGTCTCCTATCTGACCTCCGTCCTTCCCTTCAGTCTCCTATCTGCCCTTCGGCCTTCCCTTCAGTCTTATATCTGACCTCCGGCCTTCCCTTCAGTCTTATATCTGACCTCCACCCTTCCCTTCAGTCTTTTATCTGACCTCCATCCTTCCCTTCAGTCTTATGTGACCTCCATCCTTCCATTCAGTCTTATATCTGACCTCCGGCCTTCCCTTGAGTCTTATATCTGACCTCCGGCCTTCCCTTCAGTCTCCTATCTGACCTCCGGCCTTCCCTTCAGTCTCCTATCTGACCTCCGGCCTTCCCTTCAGTCTCCTATCTGACCTCCGTCCTTCCCTTCAGTCTCCTATCTGACCTTCGGCCTTCCCTTCAGTCTTATATCTGACCTCCGGCCTTCCCTTCAGTCTTATATCTGACCTCCGGCCTTCCCTTCAGTCTCCTATCTGACCTTCGGCCTTCCCTTCAGTCTTGCACAGTTCTCCTCCTTAAAGGACCAAAAAGCCTCCACTCACCTTAAATCTCACCATGTAGAGAGCGTCGGTGAGCCGGTTCAGGCTGGGGTGCTCCTCTCCCGTCTGTAAAGAAGAGAAATTCGGCATTAGACCTCGGCGTCCAACAGAAGTAAAGGGGGCGGTCCGTCCTCGTCCCCGCCGCTACTGTAGCCTCCGGTTCTCTTCCCTTGATCAATACATTTATCAAGGGGAGAGAGAACCAGAACCACAGCAAGTGCCGCTCTCGGGGAATCTGCCGCTCCAGGCAAACGCCTTGTTTGCCTCGCGGCAGATACGCCCCTGGGCGGGCTTATCTGTCCTGTGTGTCCTGTGATTGGATGGGAATACTCACTTCCAGGAAGACTCCGATGACAACCAAACCATTAGAGGCAGCGGCGGCCTCTGCGAACGTGGCGTACGATTTTGCGTTCCAGTGAACCAGATGGAGCTGCGGGTGACAAGACAAAACGACGTCAATTTAAAGGGCGTCAGAGCGCGTTCAGAAGAAAGCATCATTGTGTTTTAGGTTGCAACTCTTATTGACAGTTAGGGAGTGAAACTCAACGTTTTCCCCAACAACAAAATTTTGGCAAAATTTTTACCATCCTG